GTCCATCATAAATCCCACTTGACCAGACCCGGTATCGAACCCGGGTCGCCGCAGTAGAAAGCCAGCGACTAACCGCTTGAGCTATGGCGCGGCCAAATACTCATTATCTTTGTAATGCTAATGATTTTCTCGAAATGACGTGTTACTTGCAAACGTTATAATATATTGCGTGTATAGTTTATTCATCCTTGTGACATTTATGTAGTAACTCATTTTCTCATCTGAGTACTTGATGTAAACAATGCAAAATATGTTCAAGTGTTTCAATAATGAGGGGCTTAAAATCAACTTACGTGGGCGGAACCGTACACAGTCACACTAACGTAATATAAGAACATGGATCAAATCTCATCAAAATATTCAAAGAACCGCAGTTACAAGCAAATGCTAATGTATACAGTAACATGTCCTTTAAAAATGAAGAAACTAGACAAAAATAAAACAAAATCTTGATAAAATTTTGTATTGGTATGTGAAACGCAGTTTGGTTGACATAGGCAAGGCAGTGTGATATTGCAGGCAAACAGACGGACGTGATGAAACTAATAGGTAGGTCTGAACGCGCCGAAGGTGTGTGATCATCATTCAGTGCTTATTACACTACATTCTGTGGCACATATAAAGGGTGTCAAATGTTAATTTTCGTCGGTGTATATTTGAAAAATGTTATAGTGAATGTAAGAAATGTGCTGAAGCGAAGAATACTGTAACAGTGTATACCACTGACGTGAAATCATATGCTTCGTTTCAAGTCAGTTTTTTCAGACCACATAGCTAACAATTTTAAACGAAGGGGAATGCATCGTTCTTTGGCCAAACAGGATAAATGATAACTTTAACTGTTTCTTGGTGAATACAGTATATTACTAGTGCTTCGCCATCGCTATTGAGTGTTCAACTGTTCAAGAAGTTCTCTCTTTATAGAACCTGAAGGATCCTCATTCATCGCCAAATCCCTCCATTACATTCTACAACAAGTCCAGGAATATTAAATTAATTCTTGCATGAAACATGTCACATGTGCAGTGATGGTGACTCAGTGGCCTTCCGTTTACATGACAGGCCCACTTCCGTAATATCCCGCGCTGTGGTGAAGCCAGATCTTTAAGGTAAACACAGAATTGGGTAAAAGAGGTAAATTTGCCCCTGCACTTAATTAATTAAGCACTACGCAATGAAGAAGTATGGGTGAGTGGATGTGTAGATCCAAGTTTACTTGACCTCGGCACTAGTTGGAGGTGAGTAGTCAGCTTCACACCCCTGCCGCTTTACCCCCTGGGAAAGAGCCCCCGATACCCATTGGATAGGAGGCTGGGTGGACCCCAGAGCCGGTCTGGACAACACAGAGAAATTAAAATTCTTGCCTTCACTTGGACTCTAACTCCGATTCCTTGGTTGTCCAGCCCTTAGCCAGTTGCTATAGCGACTGTGCTATCCTGGCTTTAGGCACAGAATTGGCTTCCATTTTCAAATTGTAGCCCTGCAGTATCATCTGGGTGTTTATCAATCCCTTTGTATGTGAAATGCTTTTGACCCTGGATGCCTCAGTATAAAGGTATATGCCATGAATTTGATAAAATTCTGGGAATTGAGTCGCTGAGCAACTGCCGGCTTCTAAAGAATAAGCCAGCTCCACAGAATTAGTTGCTTGATTGCTCCCATAGCTAAGCATTCATACCACACTGTATCATCATCATCATCATCGCCATCATCACCACCAACATCATTGTGCCTGTTATTATTATTGTTGTTATGATTAGAGAGATGGGATGTCTCAGTCGGTTTAGTGACAGGCTACTGCTGGATGGCCAGTGCTTAATTTTCAGCAGGGGCAAGATATTTCTCTACTCCAGTGCCCAACTGACCTTGGGTCCACCCAGCCTCCTGTCCAGTGGGCACCAGGGGCTCATTCCCAGGGGTAAAGCAGTTGTAGCATAGAGATGACCACTAACTTCGATCAAGTTCCAAAGTCAAGAATGGTGGAGCTATATCGCCACTACGCCATATATGCGGGTCATCTTCGTCTTCATCTTCACCTTCTTCCAATATAGTCGGCATTCTATGCACCCCAAGTTGCTGGAATCCGAGACGTTGCTCTTCTGCTCACACTGCCGAATTCCTCATTGAATCCACTTCATTCTGAGAGTGTACATCTTATTTGTCTTCCTCCTCCATCGTCCTCACTGAATTCCTCTCATTCCTCCCTTTTCCATCTCCATTGTTCTCACTGAGTCGCTGAGTAACCGAATAAAACTTTCGCCATGCGCCTTCATAGTCATCTTCAATGTATCCAACTCACTCTGTAACTGAATAAGTTTTTCGTCTTCCGCCTTCGCAATAAAATAGAATGGGTTCAGCTCCTTCCGGACCTGGGCACTTAGTTTTTTCAATCTTTGCATTTTCGCCAGCGTACCTCTCATCTCTAGAATGACACATTCCCACGGGTGTAATAACATTCCGGGCTGTGATGGTTCCTGTCTTGTCTCATCCCCCCTGCAAGAAACCCGCCGAAGCTGGCAACACACCATCAGACACGTAGTGATTGTGATGAGGCTGAGAAACAAGGGGCCAAGTATCCAGAAATACTAGTTGTGGTCTGGTAAGTTTCTCTGCTGAAATGCCCAGGACAGTGCATATTCTGTTTCCTTTGTTGTGGCGGAGGTTCCAACTGTAATTATTTCGGAGTCTTGGGTTGGCTGCAAAGTTTGGATTGCTTCGGATGCTGGTAGTGGTACAAGTGCTGGGATCGCTTCAGTTACTGGGATTGGTTCAGGTGCTGAGATCGGTCCAGGTGCGGGGAATGGTTCGAATTCTGGGATTTTAGGGTATAACCGTCCTTGGCGATATACTGCAAGAGATACGCATGTTAGAATGAAGTTTTTTTAATGCTAGTGGGGTGGGACTAAGTCCCATGTACTGCGACCACTTCTGGCCTATTGTACCAGCCCCAGATGATAGGTGAAGGTGATTGTGGAGCAATTGGTAGAATGAAGATTGGCAGGGGAAACCGAAACCTGACCCAGCGCCACTTTGTCCACCACAAATCCCACTTGATTAGAACCGGGATCGAACCCGGGCCGCCGCGGTGGGAAGCCAGCGACTAACCGCTTGAGCTATAGCACGGCCTAGAATGAAGGTCAATATTATCAACATTTTCCTGGCTTTTCCTTACTACACTACATAATATGAAGTCCATCCGTCACAGGTTGCTATGTGTTGGAAGAAATTTTCTTTTCTCCAGACCGGCCAGACCGGCTCTGTGGCCGCAGTGGGTAACGGAAGCACTGAAGTTGATTATGAAGACGCAAGGCGAAAGTTTTATTCAGTTACTCAGTGATTCAACGAGGACAATGGAGGAGGAAGACGAACGCCCTGCTCACTTCCTGAATGAGATGGATTCAGTGAGGAATTTGGCTAAAAGGGCAGAAGAGCGACCTATCGAGATAGCATTTGCAACCTCTCAGTCCCGACGTTTCGTGATCTAGTGTTCGATGTGATTATGAAAACTACGTTTAGAACCGTTGCTATGCAACGACCGCGAGATAAGGAAAAACACCATAGTCATTTGGCAACGGCTCGATAAACACATTCCCGCAGGCAACGGATATGCCTGCAACAACAGAGAACTGTTTCCAACAGTAATCATATTGTTGCATGCCTATCCGTTGCAGTGGGTACGTATTTACTGAGCCGTTGCCTAGAAATGGCTCTGGTATTTTTGCTTATCTCGCGGTTATTGCATATCAACGACTCTACACGCCAATTTTTCATAACGATATCGAACCTTGAATCACGAAACGTCGGGACTGAGAGATTGCAAATACAGTTTCTCAATCGGTAGTACCCAGTTTCGAATCTTGGCCTGGAGACCGGTCATTTTTACTGATGACTTCCGTGGTTTTCCTCACCGAAGGCAGACAAGTGCCCAGATAGAACCTCAAATTACACTACCACCGATTCCTGCCACTTAATTTCCAGTTTATTATTCATTCGTCATCCGAAGGTATAGAGTCTGAGTTCCTGAGAGCGTCATTAAGTAAACCATAAACATAAGAAACGAGTTTAAATGTTAATATTGAGTGCAATGTGACAGCTACGTGAAGTAAAATACACCTGATGATGGCCGGTTGCGGCCCAAACATGTAGTGTGAAAGAAGGGGGATAAGAACTACAATAAAGTGTTCATTTACGACGGAGTTTGTATTATACATATATAAGAAATGAGGTTATCGTGGCAGTGAGTCTTCTAGAATCTGACACTACGCTTGTCCTCTATTGAAGAAGGAAGGAGAAATTTCCGCACAGCCGTTGGTTACTATTATCCTACGTGGTATCAGTCCCAGAAGAGTGCAGTATTAATACTAGTACAACATTTTTATGAGGGGGTACGGACTGGACGGTCGAGGAATCGAGGTGTGATTCTCGGCGAGAGATATTATCTCTTATTTGTAGCGTTCAGTCTCACATAGTCAATGAATATCCGATATACTTTTCCCAGGATAAAGTTGCCGGAGCCTGAAGCTGAGCTCTCACCTCCAACTACTCCCCATTCTTCTTCATGGCATGATAATTAAGCACGGGCATCGTTTTCTCTTTATAATTTATTTATGTTAATAAAAGCGGAAACGACTAAAACGCTTAATCAAAAAATTATTATTTGATTTAAAATATTGGAAACATTACCACATTAAACGGGCTAGTTTTGTGCTGTGACCCTGGAACTGTGAATTAAATCAATTTCACGCATCGAGTGGCGCTGTCGTCAGGACATAGGAGTGTGGTTATCCGAGACGTAACATAGTATAATGCAGCGACACTCTTTGCAAAGATAACCATAACAGCAGCTTGAGAAAGGTTAACAAAGTTGGCATCACTGTCTGAGGGAGCCGACTTACTTCCGAGCCCTGGAGGTCATTTTTAATTTAGTCATGTAAGCTGAACATAGATGGCAGCAGCGTTTCACCGATGTGTCACGGCGGCCATGTTGCCAACCAATAACATGGGAGTTTCACGAGGCTGACTCCGAGTTAAGTACGAAGCGTGAGGTTACTATAAGTTAATGGTCGAGGAGGATTAACGACAGCGAAATGAATCGAATGGTGTTAGAATATAATAATTAATTTTGTTTTCTACTCAAACTGCAGAAATTACAACCGATTAACTACCTTTCTGTCAGGTGGCCGGCATGTGGTCAGCACCGGGACTGGTTTGTCGTATAGACCCACAGCAACAGGTAATGTAACAGCAATTCACAGGCCCAGTACCACCATACCAATTTCAACAAACCAGCTACAATATCATGCCTTTGGAACAAACAACAATTGACAGAACCCGATCAACAAGCAATAACACAAATAACGCACAAGATGAGCCAGAAATAAGAACAAACTACACTTGGCAAGAGGTAAAGAAGAGAAAAAGATCTAACCAAACCCTAGAAACAACAAGAGAAGGAAATCCCTTTCTCTTTAATACCCAAAACAGATATGAAGAGCTCTCACGGCTCTCAGACCTGAGGATATCCTCAGGTCTGAGAGCCGTGAGAGCTCTTCATATCTGTTTTGGGTATTAAAGAGAAATGGATTTCCTTCCATTGTTGTTTCTGGGATTTGGTTAGATCTTTTTCTCTTCTTTACCTGTTGCCACATGTAGTTTGCTCTTATTTCTGGCTCACCTTGGGTCTTATTTTTGTTATTGCTTGTTAATGGGGGTTCTGTTAATTGTTGTTTGTCCCAAAGGCATGATATTGTAGCTGGTTTGTTGAAATTGGTATGGTGGTATTGGGCCTGGAATTGCTGTTGCTCTTTGACATTGTCAAACAAAAGAACAACTGCCTTTGTATCTCATAGATGTAGCATCTAAAGAAAACAATCAGAGCATATATGATAATAAATGCTTAAGTAATATGAAAATAACAGTTGAAGCCCCAAGAAAGAAAAATGACATAAATGACATTGTATGGTGTACAAGATGTCAGTGCTACAGGCATACAAAAACATATTGCGCAGGACTGTATACTTGTGTTAAATGTGGAGGTGAACACAACACCAACTTTGTGTAAAAAGAATCCAAATACTGTAGGAAATCAACAACATTAACCAGTTTCCTCCTTTAAACCATAATCACCATCCAGTCCCAACTATAGAAAATCCCTATTCCAAAATGCACAAAACCTGCAGTCACCCAACATATCAGAGCAGCTGTCAACCTCCTTAAATGAATTCAAAGCTATGTTCAACCAACTGAGCAATCAAAACAGTATGGTATTTAACATGCTAAGCACTCTTATAAACAAAATTACCCAATAATGGAAAATTTTCTATGAATTTTACTCCAGAATGCCAACGGCTGTCAAACCACAAACTAGAACTGCAAAAGTTTCTACAAATACACAAAATAGATGTTGCATTAATATCAGAGACGCACTTCACTACTAGAACAATGTTTAAAATACCATACATCATCATCAGCAGCAGCAGCAGATGACTTCTCTACTCAAGATACCTACTTAGAACAAATTTACTTATTACTCCATATTATCGAGAGAAGATTGTAAATATGCTATTAATTAAATTAAAAAAAATTGATTAGTGAAAGTTCATTATTGTGTTACTCTTTTATGTCTGGAAGTATATCAGTGCATGTTACCAGGCATACAGGGTGCAGTGTCAAATTATACACCACAGAGTACTGAGATGAATTCTGATTGGCAGATGTGTACGAGTATACTTTATTTGTATGCTGCCTGCTCTTAACAGTCATGGAAACACATCGTTGAGGAAAGTATTGTTTCAGATCCTGCAGATGTTGCTGGTGTTGTGCTGACTGAGGAAGGTGTACACACTAGACCACACACTTGCATCTCATCTACTGTACACCAGCTGCAAGGGTTTTGAATTCAAGTGCCTTGAGTTCAGTGATCATTTCCCTCTTCCCCCAGCGCACCAGCAGTGTGGAGCCCATGTAAGAGGTACAGTTCCATTTCTGTTACATTTCAAGTTCTTAGTTTCTGACATAAATTTTAGGAGTATTCATTTTTTGCACATAAAGTCAGCATCTATAACTTTCCACAGCATACTAACTGTGAGTCTGTTAATTCTTTCGGTCACAGTGATGGCCACTTGTATTGTTTCGAAAGAACTTAACATGGATCCAGACTCCTTCAACTCACAAGAAATTCTTTCCCAAGCCAAATATATTTTGTCCCGCCTAGCATAGACTGGATGACGTTTGTCTTGTTCAGTTAACTTCACAAAAACAATATTTACAGCTTCGTCAACCTTTTGCGCCACCTTAATGAACAAATGAATCACAAAAGCGCTGAAATCACAGTTGCGTTGCAGTTGCCATTTTCCATGGTGTGCCCTTGCCCTAAGGCAGTCGAAGGCAAGAAACATCGTCACTTCCTCGTAGACTGGGATTGTCAGTTCGAATCCCACTCAGTGCACGGTTGTCTGCATTTATTGCATTTGTTCTGTGTTTGTGTTGTTTTGTGTGTAGGTAGTGGCCTTCCAACCAGCTGATCCACTGTCCAAGGAGTCCTGCTGACTGATAAGATTTTTTAATTAATTAAACCAAATTTCATAAAAGTGTGGCGTATGTAGTGTCAGTATTAAGTTTCCAAATTTTTTAACATAAGATTTTGCAGTAAGTGGGCAATTATTATGGTACATAGGAGCATGTTTAGGTTTATCATATATGTTCCTGTAGTTTGAAGCTGGCCATATGTAGAGTATTTGTGTGTGTGGCCAGTTTCCATCCTCAGGTTACAGGATAAGGTAAGGAATCCTACCCAGTTGGGCCCCCAGGCCACAGTTTAGTTATCCTGCCAGTACCAAGGAAACAGAATGAGTTTATTGAACAGCATGGTTTCAAGAAACTGGGAGTGCAGACAGCATTCAAAATACCTAGTGAAAAGGCGTCTGAATAACAAACCTGATTATAATTAATGATTATGTAAGCACTGTATAATTATTACTATTTGTCACTTGTGGAGAGGCGCCTGTGAAGAGACTGTCATCACAACTGATGTCAGAGTGAGACAAACATATAACAGATTCCCCGCTTTCTCTATATGTTCTGTGAAGACATCCTGTATGAAAAGTATGTAACATGTGAGATGAACTGTACTGTTTGGAGACTGAATATTTTTGCGTCAGTAGCCATGTGTGTATTCTAGAGGCCTCAGACACATCTCATCCCAGAGATGTGCTCTCTTGATGGAGGAGGAATTTCTTAGATTTGTTGAGTCTTAGAATAGTTCCTCAAATTAGACCCAACCACTTCCTTTTCGTTTTTCATTATTCACTGATAATCCGTTGTTGGGTGAGTGCTGTAGGGTCACCATAGCTGAGGATAGGGTGCAAAATATATCAGCAGAACTAGGCAATGGGCATGAAGCTGGCCAGGGCAGAAGGACACACACACACACATGTGTCACTGCTGGTCTTCTTCTGTGTTTGGGTTTAGTACTGTGTTGAAATGGTAAAGAGTACTGGCATTTTGGAGGGCTTTGCTGCCATAAGGTATCATTGAAACAGATGAAATGTCAGAAGCAAACATTGGTGAGGAGTGTATGAGTTCAGTCTGAGAACAGCAAGTTTGTGCATCACTAAGGGTTTAGTGCCTCTTGCAGTACCAAACTCAGTGTCAAGGGATCATCTTGACGTAGCAAACTCATGGTTTGGTTAACGCACTTCACGGTGCGCTCAGATTTAGAATTTATATGGCTTTATCTGTGCTCTTTATGTTTGCAGACATGGAGTGTTGGTATCAGTGAAGGGTAGCTGTTCCTAGCAGTGAAGGATGCCGAGTTCCTGAGTGAGCGGGAGCCACACAGCATCTTCCTCTCCATGGATCCACATAGGAGGCATAAGACAATAGTGACCACAGGGAAGACCAAGGCGTGGGTGGATGGACAGTATTAAAATGGATCTTAGAGAGATAGGATGGGATGGTATGGATTGGATAGATCTGGCTCAGGATAGGGACTAGTGGAGGGCTCTTGTGAACACCGTGATGAACCTTCGGGTTCCATAAAATCCTGGGAAATTCTTGAGTAGCTGCAGAATTGGCGGCTCCTCAAGAAGGGCTCGGCTCCATGAGTAAGTAAGTAAGGTTTGTCAACGTATCACCTGATGATGGCTTCATGAGCCGAAACATGTTTCGACTTTATACGACCAATCAACTCAGTTATGTCCAGCGACGTTTACTGTTCTGACATGGTGCTGTACCCAGACTCAGGATAGTCTTTCCCCACTGCCAGATGTCCATGATGAGTCAGATGACACCAACAATTTTCTGCAGCCCCTGTTATTGTATAGAACCTACCAGGGGTCTGTGCCCTGAAGGTTAGTACCTTTGTAGTGCTAAAGTGGATGTGAGAGTAAGACGTCTTGAATCAGGAGGGTGCTTCAAAGAAATCAGAAATATTGACCAGTCATAATGTGTGTTGAGATGACAGTGAATCTCTGTATATATAATTGTTACTGTATGCCAACAGTCCTGGTGTGAGGTCAGTGGAGAGAAGCTGTTCCTAGTCAGCAAGTTCCATGCCTTGCCTTCACCTCTTGAACTGCTCGCCATCTGCAAGCGCCTGCTGTGCTAAAGGTTTGTGTCATATCAGATAGACAGCTCTATCTCTCTTGTCAGAATGTTAGGAAACCTTATAGAGGTGGTAAATTAATTCATACAGCGTTGCTTGTGGCAAGCAGTAGCACTTTGTGCAGGGGGCTTAATGTCATTAGTAAAACAGTTCTGAAGTGAACCAAATAATGGAGTGCTGAAGCAGATAGAGTCTGGGTTAACTCACCAAAACCAGATATTCAGGAATCCGGGTAAACATGTTGCTGCCATTCTGTAGAGCTGGGTGGGGCTTGAAGGTTGCTTGCATTTTATTTATTTTTTATGAATCCATTTTATAGAAATTTATTGACTCTGCAGTTATTTAATTTGGATCCACCTCATGGTGATGTATCGATCCAAACACGTAGTCATTCAGTATGAGCCTGATAAATTAATCATGACACTGTTGTCTGCTTAAATTTTATTGTCAAGTGATGCTGTGTCTACGCACCCCATTTTACGGTGATAACTGTAACAGAATAGGATTCAGAGTATAAATTTGTAATTGCACTAGTATGGAAAATTCCCATTCTCGATATTCTTTTTCAAATGTTCTCTTTTCTGGACTGAAAAATCTGTTTTCACATGTGCCTAGTATGGGAACAAGGATGGACTTGTGTCATCACTAGGATGATACTAGATGCTAGTTTAAAGATATTTCCAATGTTCATATGTGGGGCAGACATTCAGACATGAGTCCTGTCTTCTGTGAGGTTGCCTATGCAGGACACAGTGTACTCTGCTCACATTCAAGCAAGTGTGAACGCGAGCTTGATTGCTTAGCAATGACGAGTAAACAGCGGTTGCTAGGCAGTGACGCTTGCGTTGTCACACTTGCTTGAATGTGGGCAGTTCCCATAAGTGAATTGAAATGGGTATGACAGGAAGTGGTTGTTACCCAATTTCATATACTACCCCTGCCTGGCATTTACCTGGTGAAGGGGTCTGAGGAAGACCACAGAAACTCAGTCAGAGTAGCCACCATCCTCCGTCTTTTGAGTTCATCAGTACCCGGAGGTGCAGATGTGATGATTCCTATAGAGTAAAATATTTGTTTAAAGTTTCCCTGCGGAGCAGTAGATTTGAACAGTAAGCTGAAGATGGTCTCACATGCATGTAACTTAACATTGATATGAGGAAAATTCATAAATGAAGGAGCATTAAGTGGTGCTGTCCTCACAAGGAAAGTGGTGGTTCATGTTGCTTGTAGGGTGTATGGGTACAGCACTCTCTTGGAATGGCAGATTACTGGCTGAGATTGGGGAGGAACTTGTAACCATTACACAGAACGTTCTCCCTCGCTGCAGAGCATCCATCAGAAAGGCCTTCTGTTCAGATTGAGGGCAGAAGAACACATTTCCCCTTGTCAAATGTGGTAACGTACCTCTCAGGAGTATTATTGTGAGTACTCAAGACACACATGAAGAATGCCACAGCATGCTCCTAAACCCTATTGCATGTAACAGCAGAGCTGTTACCGCTGCATGGGAACATGGGCTGAATCATCCAAGTGGCCATCATACAGATGATAATACGTGCTAATGTGTTTTGAAGATGGGAGAAGTGTCTCCATGTCACATCAGCAGCACATTTGAATGCAGTTCACCCATGGACTGAACAGACATCAGCCAATGAAGATGGTGTAACAGCAGTAGTGGAATGGTAGATGAGGCGATATCACATAATAATTGGGACCGTCCTAACTGAGGGTCCTCAGAGTACTTCATGATGATCAGTTGCATCTGTGCCACTAATTACAGAGAGCTATTCTGTGTTCAGAGAGAGTCACCCACTAGGAACGCAATCCTGCAAATAGCTACAACACCAGCACACCACAGACGAGCTCACTTCATGTAACATTCTGTGGACAGATGCAGCAAGTTTGTTCAGCTTCTGCCTCAGGCATGGGATAATTGTTAGGAACATTGTTGTGGTGCCCCATCTACCTGAAGCTGTCAGGCAGAGGTCATAATTTTAGCACTGGCCAAGATGACCTTGGTTGCGGGATCCTGTAATTGCAAGACTTGAAGCAGCTGTAACAGTGGTCTATGGCAGCATGTTAATGTATACTGGAGAGGATGCCCTGCCAGGACTTCTTGGAACACCTTTTGTGACTACTGAGCAGCCCATGGATTGCTCATTTGATAGCTTGTGCCACTTGACAGTGAAGCATACTAAATCTCACAGGACACACATACAGTATATTTGACGTTCTTCGTTTTGTTTCACCCTGTTCAGATTTACAACTTATAAAGCCCTCTGTAACTGTTACAGTATATTGGCCGTTGAGGAGATGTATCAGTGAAGAAAATCTGTGTCAAGTTTGTGGGTGAGCAAGGATTGTGCAGCGTCTGCCTCTTCAGTTGTGCACCATCTATGAGGAGCCTCCTGTACCATAGATGTCATTGTACATTCGCTCTTCTAGGCCAGCATTTTTGGATCTTGTTTGGTAGATACAGTGAAATGTGATTTCTACAGTGCATTATAAACTTCGTAAATTTTATATCTCATATAACTTGGCCCCCAGTTCAGTACTGTGAGGGAGTAGGCAGGGCATGGAGTACCTCAGAACCCGTACTCTAGGCAGCTGGATATGTGTAACAGAACCTCGTATACAGGGGGTGAAGGGAGGGGAGGCTTTCGGGTAGTTAGTATAGCAGCATGTGTTTGGTCTCGTCTACAGGGTCATGACACAAGATTAGTGAATGGCTTGCTTTGTCTCATGGTATGAAACAAGATTCTCATTTGAATATTATTATTTGAAAATTACGGCTGTACTCCTGCTCTTAGGTTATAACTCGTGTTAGGGGGATCCATAAGTAGGCTTGGTTGGTGACCTTCATTAGCACAGGCCATCAGCCAGTCAGGAAATAACAGCGCTTCCTGCGGTTCGATCCTTGCCACTAACAATAGAAAAATGAAAGTTATTGTGCTGTATTGCATGTACATCCCAATAATTTGTTGTATCATTTTGCATTTCAGGCCAGATCGTAATCCGTGCTGGGCGTGTGTGTGCATGGAGCTTCAGAGATGGTGCAGCCTCTTGATGCAAGAATTCCACAACAGGAGGAGGTAAACCAAGTTAACTTCTCTTCCATGTTGTGTTACATGGCTTTCCACTGCGGCGGCCCGGGTTCGATCCTAAGTCTGGTCAAGTGGGATTTTTGGTGGACAGAGTGGTGCTGGGGCAGGTTTTCTCTGAGTACTTCAGTTTCCCCTGCCAATCTTCATTCCACCAGTTGTTCCACAATCACCCTCACCTATCACTGGGGCTGATACAATAGGCCAGAAGTGGCCGCAGTACAAGGGACTTAGTCCCACCCCACTAGCAATAAAAAAATACATTACTTTATGATCACATCTTCATTCATTTTACAGAGTTTCATTGACATTCAGGCATCGGTGTTAAGTAGCAACCAGGAAATGCTTGGAAATATAATGAATGACGTGAAAGATTAGTGTTCTCTTTTAAAAGCCAGGGGACTAGGATTCATGGCAGGAGAACACTGACACACGTGTGCATGCACACTTTTCCTGTGGTATTATAGTCATGAGTTGACCATAAAATAATATATCTTAATATAGTATAGTTTAGTACAAAGCAATGTGGTACACCACAGTACAGTTTGCTGTAGTTTATTGTACATTAGTAGAGTATAATATACTAGCTTAACACCTGCAGATTTCAAGCATCTGCAGTTTACCTTTTGTATCCAGCTTTGGAAACCATAGTATTTGGCTTTAGTTTGTGCACATGCTAGAAAAGTGTATGGCTTCCACACGAGATCAGCATTTACTGGAGGTCACAGGGTGATGGCATTTGAAAGCTGCCTGTTATCCATCTTTTGTATTATGAGTGCTATGTATCTGTCTCTTGTGTAAGGCTGACAACCTCAACGCCATCAGTGAGCCGATTTTATAGAAAATGTGGAAGCCTCAATGCCCCACAACCCTATTGGCCTGCTCGGCCTGTTACAGGGATAGCTTGAGCTTATTATGCATCTGTCTCTTGCTTTTTATATTCAGTGTCCAATTTACATGTGTATTGTGGTTAGTGAAGGGGAGGCACTTTAGTTAGGTTGGAAGAGTGAGCAGCTGCCGCAGTTCCTTCAATCCTGAGTGTCCTGCAAGCCCTTAATCTTGCTGATTGTGGTGTATTTTAGAAATGTAAGCCCTGCAGTTGGTGAGATTGCTCTACTAATATTTAATTTATTTGAATATAGTACAGAGTAGCACAGCACAATAGTGTGTTATAAAATTTGACATGTCACAGTATAATGTGGAACATTTTATTATATTGTCTAGCTGACTGCATGTTTAGTGTATTATAGTTCAGTATAGCGTATCATCATCATAGTCACCAATTTACTGTCCTGGTCTCCTTCACTGTTCCTTCCTATACTTACATTTGTTTTAACCTTTGTCCCTTCTGCTACAACCTTTTCTGACCCTTTGCATTTACCTTTTTCAACTTGAGTTTTCCAAAGCCTTTCCTATTTCTGTACTACTACTATGTTTCTGAAAATTTCTACTTCACTTTGTATTTTCTGTCTCTCACATTACAATCCTCTATACTCCTGAACTTCACAGCTCCTCTGTTACCTTCTTTCCTAAATGCTGTCTTCCTGACTTTCCTGAACTGTTTTCAAATCTACTATTTCCTCTTCTGACCCCTTATAATTTCCTTTCTTATGAGTATCATTCCTGAACTCCCCCATTCCACCACTTTCTGTCATCATAGCTCTCATTTCTCATAATGTCTCACTTCTCCTTTCTGCTGTCCTTCCATATTGCCTTTTGCTGAATCTCCTTCTTTTCACCAGTTCCTTTGAAGACCCCATCAGTTTCCTTTCTTTCCATTCCCTACCCTTTTTGGATCCTTCATCCTCCCACTTTTGGCTTCTCCATGCATAATTTTCCTGAACAATTTTTCTTTGCTTCTTCCCTTCTGGACACATGTCTGTTTCCAGCACTTCCTCTCCGGACCCCACCCATTAGAGGAAAAGAAGGGAATTGAGGTGAAGCAGAGTTGCAGAAGAGAATGGAGGGGAGTCTGAAGGTTGAGAGGTTCACAAAATTTGAGTAGAGTAGGAGAAAGGGGAGGTTAGGGAATGATGAGAGCAGAAGGGGTTTGGAAACATTAACATTGGATGGGAATTGCTAAATTGATGTAAATGAAAGAAGGAAAATGTGAACTGCAGAGATGGATGCACATGTGCAGAAATGTGGTAATTGTACAGTGCTCTACGAATTCTGTAATGCCATTTTAAAGTGTTTAGTGTTCAGGTTAAATGTTTGTTTATATCCTCAGTTCTTCAGCTGTAGTCTTACAAGCCTTTTGATTGTAGATGAAGACTACAGTAGATGACTCAAATGACACACGCACTCAGTACCAATCTATCTGATGTGGTTGTGGCTGGACAGACAGGTCTCAGAGAAGATATTGTCACTTGCGTGTGATATTAGCACTCACAGTTGTTCTTAATTATAAGTAGATTGACAAGACATGATCGCAAAAAATGCAGGCAGTGAGCAGTCAACCAACTGCAAAATGGACATATATTTGGCAGTTAGTGGAATGGCGCATTTACATTATTCTGATGCAGAGAGAAATGGAAGTGTAATTTTTTTGTTGTTGGAAGAAGTCCGAAATCCATCAGACCTAACAGAGAATACCCAAAGTTATGAAATTTACATCTTTACCCTTGTCACTGGATCCATGCGTCCACGCTCCCATATGCCTTCATGGTGTAGTGCTTAATCAGTTAAGCACAGGGACTACTTTACCTTACCCTACCTTTATCCTTGTCTGTATGATTGGTAGCCATGGCTGCTGAAGCAATGTGCGAGTATTGCAGTAGGATTTGTTGTGTATGTGATTCAAATCCTGATTCCCAGTTTATTATTGCTTTTATTGGTTTTGTTACATAAGAATACTTCAATTTCATAATTTGAGTGTTACTCCCTTTCTTACAGATATAAATACTATACGTTGTGATACTGATGAAAAAAGCAACAATATCCCATGCACGGAATGGATACTTCTGCTTGGGTGAGGTAGAAACTTCCGTGCAGCAGGTCATTTGGCCCATTAGGCCATTTATTCAGCTTGATGCAGGAGCTGAATGTGAAAACAAATCCTATGATGATGGAAACTAATGATTGTACATGCCTGCATTACATGCAGTTTAGAAAATGTTAGGACGTAGTTCAGTAATGAAGCATTTCCATACAGGTGGGCTGGTAATTTTTAGTTTATTCAATTGCTAAGATGAGTGTGTATGATGAACTGGGAGAGAAGTGGAGGTAAACATTCACAGCACTTGATTGGCAGGACTGAAAAAATCATGAAAACTGCCTGTCAGGATTGGCTGGTTAGGAAGCAAATGTCACTCCTTGAAAAAACCTCTTATGTAAACATCTTATATACTTCTTTATGGTTCTGCTGACATTTAAAACTGATGATATTTTGGGTGGGTATGTTTATTTTGCTGTACTATTGAGTTTGAGTTAAGGCCTTATGCTTTTGTCTGATTCTCCAACCATCTGTAGTTTCCCACTCCAGTGAATTAGCTCCCATGCCACTGGGGGTACTGGGTATCATCTGCGCTGTGCAGTCACCCTTGTGTCTGAGACAGGCCTAATGTCTCAACTGTTCTCACCAATAAATACTGTCACATGTCCAGGGTTTGCATGACTAATAAGATGGGTTTTGGATTTGATGATCAAATTTATTGGACCTTTATACTGGTATAACTGGTTACAACAGTTCACAAATACTGATGCACTGTCATCATCTTCCAGCTGGACACTTCATGGGAACTATTCTGACTTCCAACTGAAATGTCAATTCAAGTGAAAGTCAAAGTCACATTGCAGCTGACGGTAAGTCAGTCAGTAAGTCTTGGTGTCGAGCCCAATCTGGGGCTCATGACCAGATATTTATTACTGTTTGACATTTACAGTCTTGTTTTTGAGGGGTGCCTTCTCTGACAAGATGATGAGTCTCTTTTATATATGTTGCTGACCCTTGCCAGCACAGTCTTTCTTGGGTCCGAGTCCCTTGAGACTCACGACTATATTTTACTGTCTCAGATTTGAGACTTCCCTTTTCGTTGCCTCCTACAACTCGCAGGGTCACGGTGGAGGTATTCAACCCTGCCTCCACATGGGTGGTCAGCTCCTCTGAAATGTCAGTTATTGTTGGATTCTTGTTATATAGCCTCGGTTTGGACCACAGCACAGATGTGAATCCACATAAAAAACACCTCCTGCAACACCGGTTCTGTTGTTGATAGCATATTTGTTGTGGCCTTGTTTGCTGAGTCTTTCCCTAGCATGTCAGTATTTTCGTCCCTTACAAATCAAGCTGCATTGTAATTTNTGGGGGGGGGGGGAAGGGGGGAAGTTGGCCTCTGTTGCTTGATTCTTGAATTCATTAACACCTAACATTTTCCAGCTGCACAGATATAACATCAGCATGATTATGGATGGCGAATTTAAAGGTATGTATATGCAAGGAAGTAAGTATAGTGTGATTTAAGGTACTCTTACAGCATTTGTCTGGAGAGAACCATGGAATACTACAGTAATAATAGTCAGTATGGGTGCTCTCCATGCTGAATTCAAACCTGAGACCACCCAAATAAGAAGCAGGAATGCTGATCACTTAACAGTAATATTCAGTTTGAGACCTTGAAATACTAAATTCCCCATAACTGCATTGAGCACAATGTAAGAAATCATTACAGTATCAAACTTGAAGAGGTTACTGTTTAAATCTTCTGTCACAGTAATTCCTGTGAAAGCAGTAAATTGTTTATTATTACTGACTACAAGTAATATATTCCCCGTCTTTCAATTTTATTTTGTGCTTTTAAATTCCATAGATAGCAGCTAGGCTTAGGAAAGGGTCTTGAGGCTGTCATACAATATTTCTCCCCTGTTTGGTCAGATATATCAACTCTGCCAGTTATAATTCCAACAAAGGACCATGTTTAAGTATTTAATTCAGTGTGCAGTAATGATAAACCAGACATGGAAGCTTACATCAGTCCATAGCCATGGGGTGAACATGGCCACAGAACTGCATCATCCTAAAAGTAGAACAGACCAAGCAGATTCACTTCCAGAAGTTCCTGGGTCCTGTCATGTCATGTTACTACATGTTACACAGATATAAGAATATACATTTTGTCTTGGTTCTGTGTCAAAATAAGATATATGAAGATTTAACTATATGAATTACATTTTACTTCCTTACTTGACATCACTGAATAATTAATGTAGGCAGGAACATGAAATAATTTGTGATGAGAGGTTATAAAATTGTGTACAAAATACTTTTTCATGTTAGGAGGAGTTGACATGGAAAAGACATGAGCATCAAGGTAAGTGTATCTATCAGTTTGGAACATGTTTTTGCGATCAGTGACCCAACTGTTCTTCATACCACAATAAGAACTGGTATGATGGAAAAGCTGGGCCACTGCAATGTATTGCTTCAGTCACCATTCCTCCAAATCATCAGTAAACCTGTCTTCATTGTCAGCCTTTGAAAACAATAATTCATAATTTAACTTGTAATAATGAAGCCATTAACTGTTATTGACAGGAGATACAGAAAATGTGCACTTTATAAGCCAAATTAACCCCATGTTGACAGGTGTGTGTACTTGCAACTGGCTTTAAATGATAATTGTACTGTTTGATGCCACATAACCTATAACAAATTAATATATGAGAAGAAACTTGAAAGCCAAAGAGAAAATTTCCATAAAAATCTGATCTTCCATACTAGTAATAAAAACATGTAGAGCAATGTGTGTCTCATTTTATATGTATAAACCAATCCTACCACTCCAGAATAAAGTTTGAAAATTGAGCTTGCATGCAGATTTCACGGTCGTGGTTCAGAGGCATTTTAAGCATCACTGGCCAGCTACGTCCTTTGGAAAGCTTTGGAATTACAGTCCAATATGAAAATTAAGGCCAGTCGCGTAATGTGGCAGAAACAAATTGTGGATGAAAATCAACAGAGAACTTTGGCAGAAGATTTGCCTACTTCCCGACTACAGGGTGGGTGACTGATATCGCCTCGACTATCCTAGTACACGGATATAAATTCAACAATTATTCTAGGTCCAGGTTTACGCAAATTGCCAACAAAATGGACATTTTGTATTAGCATCATGATGGAATAATACACTTAAAATTTTTATTATGTCGCCATTTGTTTCTAGTTTCGATGCTACGACGTTCAATCGCGCCGGGGGGGGGGACAAAATGGCGATATTGGACGTCCAATCGCGTGATGGGGCGGGAGAAAAATGGCCATTGAAGTCTCTAAGAACGTAGCTGGCAAGATGTGTCACTTTACCGACTACAGGAAATAAATATTGTCAGATACATAGACTATCCTAGTACCCGGACACTAAATAATTTTTTCGATGGATAGGCTTAAGATAATTGGAAAAACAATGTAATTTTGAATCCGTGTATTAGGAACACCATGGAAGTATAGTGCGCTTTTAAATTTTTGACTCCCCATTTTGTTGCTAGTTTTGAAGTGGCAACTTCCAGTCGCGCGATGGTGGCCAGAAAGAAAATCTTGATGGAATTCAGTAAAGTACTTTGCTCATTAGAAAAGTATAGAAGGCGGTTGTACCTCCTCGACTATCCTGTATCCGGGTATCAGGATCACCGAGGAGGTATAGTGAACATTC